AATGAGAAAAATTAAAAGACGAAACTACTAAACCTTAGTTCAAAAATCGTCGTTACAGTACTTCATTGCACCGACCACCATCATCTGGTCGGCACACATGATTTCATCCGAACTTCTGATTGTCAGTCGAACAGCCAACGCGCTGATTCTTCCTACACCACCATCATCATACGTAAATCATCATGAGACAACCATCTGAAACGTGCTGACTCCCACCACTGCCCACCTCTCATCATCCTGTAGACAAATTTTTTTTATTAGCGTAGTAGTAAATGAATGTTAGAATCTTAGGAGCAAAAAAATTATAAAATGGAAACAATGGCAAATAAATAATATTTTAAAATAATAAAGTGATTAAAATGTAAAAAAAAACTTACCGTCGTCCATTCGATAAAGGCAGAATGTTGAATGCGGTTCGGTTCCTACGTTGTCCTCCAAAACTGGTGCCAGTCCTCATCGAGATTGTTGTTGAAACACAGCCCGTGTTGATGGAGAAAGAGAAAATTCTCATCAGAAAGCTTAGAGGTGCCTGCATCTCAAATTGCTTAATAAAAATAATCCTATCTACCTATTCAATTACCTTAGCTAATCTATATTAAATTGTTAATGGTACGATAGTCGAAAGTCCTCCTTCATTCTCCCTCCTTGCACAGAGGCTCACCGACAGCCAGGGCACCGGATAGTAAACCATTGCCGTGCGGATAGTAGACTATTGCCGTGCGGATAGTAAACCATTTGCCGTCCGGAAGCCGTGCGGATAGTAGACTATGGCCGTGCCGCATGGTAAATCATTACCGTGCAGATAGTAAACCATTGCCGTCCGGATAGTAAACCATTGCCGGTTCACCACTGGCCACCAAGGCTTACCTCTGACAAGAGACTTTGAAATCTAGAGTCAATCGGCTATCGTACCCTCAACTTACCTATTCATTACAATTAAGCCCTAGCTTACCTAAAATTACAAAACTCAAGAGCCCAATTCATTTAGCCAATCGGCACCCACCCCACCACCTACGTAATGCCTTGGGCTCCAACTTAGTAATAATAGTATAAAACTTAAACCCTAAATCTATTAATGAGTATGTGTTACAACGTAGCCTTAACTTACCTATTCATTTCATTACGGTCCTAGCTTACCTAAAATTACAAAACTCAAGAGCCCAATTCATTGGCCTTTCGGCACCCACCCCACCACCTACGTAATGCCTTGGGCTCCGACATAATAATAATAATATAAAACTTATAATTAACCTACCTATCGATACACATACAGCGTTTTAATTTACATTACAAGATTGTTCCTAGAATTACATTATCGCCCTTAACTACCTATGAAATTAAATTACTCTCAACCTTAGTAATAATAAATTAGAATGTGTATTGAAAATAAAATTACGCTCAAATAATAATATATGTGTCTATGTATGCAACTGTGTGTGTGTGTGTGTAATACGCTAATGCGTGTAATATAGATGCGAGATAAAATAGAAGCGATAAACTTACGCGCCTACCTATTCAACTTCATTAGTGTTGGATGTTTCCTATCTATCCTACCTACAATTAAAATTATGTCTATCTAACCTACCTATATAGCTACTTAATGTAATTGTGTGTGTGTGTGTGCGCGAGTGAGCATTCTTACTTATTGTTAAATTACAGAGAAAAAAGAATAAAACGTATCCCAGCCAGGCGTGCATTCTTTGCTTCTGAACGAATGAACGTAGCCTGACATCTTCCATGATGAAGCATGGAAGCTTTAGCCTGAATGAAATGAATGAAATAAAAAAATCTTATTTATTTATTTAATTAATTTAAATGAAAATAGAGAAACGAGCCGCGGTGAAAACCGCCAGCCGGAAAAGCCAGCCAATTGGCAAAAAGAGAAACCGCAAAGAAACCGTAAAACGAACCCCAGCCAGGCGTACATTCTTTGACACTGAATAAACGAACGTAGCGTGACATCACAACCATTCTGATCTTCCACGATGAACTCCTCCGGAAGCTTCAACCTGAATGAATGAACCTGAAAGAACCTAAATGAACGGACAAATCTTATTTATTTAATTAATTTAAATAAAAATAGAGAAACGCAAAGAAGCCGACCGGTCGGCAAAGAAAAGAAAGGTATCTATATAGGATTTACGCTCTATATAACTCTATATAACTCTATATAACTCTATATAACTCTATATAACTCTATATAACTCTATATAACTCTATATAACTCTAATAACTCTATATAACTCTATATAAAATAAAATTAAATAAAAATAAATAAATTAAAAAAATATAAATATAAAAAAATGAGATCAGGCACTCCGACTCGAGCGAGGCAGAAATGCCTGATCTGATTTCAACGTTTTTTCAGCTCCTATTTATACTCGTTTCAACTATACATTTTCATCATTTCAATCATTCACACCAATAAAAAACTTATTTAATGTATGTACTACACTATTATACAGTCTTAACCAAAATGCTAACCGTACTAAATTGAAGTCATCGAACGAATATAAAAGCAACAGTAATCAGTGCAATATATGTAAGCACGCAGCTCAAATTTTTCGGGGAGAATTCAAAATTGTTTGAGACCACACCTTGCTTAACATCCAATTCTAAGCCGAGCCAAGCCAAGCTGAGCCAATATGCATAAATTCATTATAAAAAACAACAGTAGCCATTACTATATATGTAAGCACGCAGTTCAAATTTTTCGGGGAGAATTCAAAATAGTTTAAGACCACACCTTGCTTAACATCCGATTCCAAGCCGAGCCAAGCCAAGCTGAGCCATTATGCATAGATTTATAAGCGCTTTTATATTAAAATTTTGCTCGCTTTTTAAACGAATATCCTAATATAACAAATTCTCCATCCTATTTTAACTTTCTTTGATGCTTTTTAATCAGTCAGGTCACAAAAATCATTAGTGATATCGCAATGAAATCAATTTGAAATTTTTTTTTAATTATTGATAAAATTTTTAAATTGTTGATAAAAATAACTAGTATATATAGTGTAGTAAAACGTTTAAAATTTTCTGAGAGAATTTAAAATAATTTGAGACTACACCATAACACAATTGTACAATTTGAATGTGTAAATACAACATTATAAATGTATTATATCTACATGTCTATTTCTTTATTTAGTTCTGCCTGTGGATATTTTGTCAAATTTATTTGATAGGAATTGAATATAACCTTTATACCGGCTGATTAACTACCATGCAGTAAAATAACCACTGTTGACCATTTCCTCCAACGATTTCGCAACGAATTGCCCATACCATTAGAACTAGAATAAACTCTTTCAATCAATGTTTAAATTTTTATATTGTCATTTATTCTTTCGTTTTTGTTTCTGTACTAATTTTCGTGTCAGATACAATAATTTAGTTTTTAAGTAAATTTTCATTTTCGTAGCTATACACAAACATGCCTACCTGTTGCATTAAAAATTGCATTAATAATAAATAGAAATGAGAAAATTTCTGATGCATCTTTTCACAGGTTTATTTTCAAATTAACTTCACACTAAAATAAATGTAACAATATCCCTATACTCGTTGAATAGAACTATTTTGTTTTAAAATTACATATATTTTATTTTATAGACTATTATAATTTATAATGCTATCATGGATTACCATTTTATTATTAAAAGCAATACTTAAGAAATGCACAAGTTTCTGTAACAGTTTATAAAATTTCAGATTTCCTCAAAATGTAAAAATGCAAAACGATTGGATTAACATTAAGTGCATCAGACAGGAAATAAATGATTTCAAATGGCTTCCATCAAAAAATGCAAGAATATGCAGTGACCATTTCTGTAATAAAGATTATAAGGGTTATGATGGAGAAAGGAAGGTAATGCTGAAGAAAGCGTTACCATGTTTTCAAGTTAGTTATATTTATATGTCATCAGTCACACAAGGAAGCAATTCACATCATCATTGTACATTGCAACATTATCTATACAAAAAATATAAAATGCATTCACCAATATTCCATGTATTTTATTAAAACTTAGAAAGGGCATAATGACATTGTGAATAATAAACCCTGTTTAGGACTGGGATCATCATCATCATACCAATCACCATTACAAGTAGAGTCAATTTTATATTAATGCTTAACAAGTTAACTAAATTGGCATAATCAAGTTTTTTTATGAAATACACATCAAGTATTTAATGTAACAAATAAATTAACAAAAAATTTCTGGAAAAGTTTAAAAAAATTAGAACATATGACTGATCAAAAATCATTTGCGTTGACACTGCATTTGTATGGGCATAAGGCATATGATTATCTTTGGACAAATGGCTTACATCTTCCTCACACTAGGACATTAAGAAAGTAATCTTGTCATACCTGTTCAATAATTTTAATAAGATTGTTTTAAATAACTATTCTCAATGTCATTTTATTAACACTACATTAAAGGGTGGCTACAAAACATTGATGGTAAGCCTGGGGTGATTTCTACAAACCTTATTGACTAATGGTGATGGGGATCCTCTGGAACTGTAGGGTCATGACATTCAATCTAGTCATGGATTGAGAAATTAATCCTTGATATATTTGATAACAAACATTTATTATAATATAAGAATGAAAAAAGATGTAGGTGTAAGGCAAAATCTTACTGGAACTATTATTTTTAGCAATTTATGATTTATTTTATTATTTATGACTTTATCCATTTTTAATGATACCAATATTTTTAATTATTATTATCCAAATTATACTCATGCCTATATAAATTAATTTGATTGTGGCTATTTCTATGCTTAATTATTTTATTTACTTGCTATAGGTATGCACAGGATTTAATAAATTAATGATAATAATTAATAACACAACATTTTAAGTGCATAAAATATAATAAATTAAAAGTACAATTTTTACAAACCTCATTGGTTATGGTGGGGATTCTTTAAAACTGAATGATCATGATCTAACAAGTCATGGATTGATGAATCACTGGAATCATACATTATCTTTAATAAATTTAATAACAACATGTACTACAATTTAAGAATGAGGAATATTTTGTAAAACATTAAATAAAAAAAAATTTAGTTAGAATCACTCATAATTAATAAATTTTAATTAAATTGCAAGTTAGCTTGGGGAGTTTGAAGCTTGAATTGAACAAATTACAAAATTGTTTATTTAATTGTTTATAAAATTGATTGATAAGTTGTTTAATATATTTATTTAATTTAGTATATTTTTTATTCCCAGACCTAAGCATTGTAAATAAAAATTTTAAAACCAATCAAGCAATAGAATTTAGGATCTTAGGAACAAGTGCTGTTAGTGTTAGTGTAGTAGTAGTATGTACTATTAGTGTAGTGGTTGGTAGTTTCTAGTAGTCTAATCTGTTAATGTTCGTTAGTGTTATCTGTTATTTATTTCAATTAGTAATTAAAATCAGTAGAGATTAGTTTTAGTTTAATTATTAGAGTTTAGTAATTTAATTACTAATTAGTCGTCGTTTAGTGTTGTGTTGTTGGTGGTTCACAAAAAATTTTTTTTTATTTAAAATTCTATCCCAAAACAGCATCTAGTATCACCTTTTAAAACATTTTGAAATTTTAAATAAAAGCAATATTCCGAAATTAGTAAATATACGATCGTAACTTTTGACTTGGGCGATAAAAAATCACCCTCCAATTTTCCTCCGGAAGTAAGCTCCTTGTTCGACCGTCAAAAATGAGCGAAGGCCGTTATATTTATTCTAATTATACGGTACAAAGCATAAAACTCAGGTTATATTTTGATTCAAAATCGTTTAAGGGTAGATTGCATTGTCAAGCGTTTTACATTTTATTTATTTTTTTTAAATTCAATAACATTTTAAAAATAATTATTCAAAAAACAGTTTTCCTTTTTTTAGTATTTCGGCTGTTTACATTATACTGTCGCTAACCAACGAACATGCAGGCTGTATTTAGTTTATTAGTTGCACCGTGGGTGGAGCTTATGAGTCTCTTTAAACTGTTGACTATAAATAAATATTTCTGGAAAAACCACTTTGCCGTCTCCGAGATTACCGTTTAATCGTACAAAGTGTCGATGGATTTTGATGAATTATCAAAATTTTTAAAGTATGTCTCTTTTTAATTACACGGTGTCGCCAAGGGTTATCTAAGGCTATATTGTTATCTGGTGTTTGTTATTATTGTGTTTTAGTTCGTATATAAATAGCGGGTTCAATATTGAATATATTGATATCATCTTCATACATTTTTTTGTTTCAAATATAATTTAAAATTTTTATTACCAATGCATCCTTACTTGAAATGCAGTTCTTGAGTATTTATTTGTTGTAAATGTAAATTAGCAGGTCGCACGATTTTTCAAATTTTTTTTTTTTTTGTATATAAACTACTTTTTCCTATAAAGCAAAATTTGCTGATTAAAATAATACCAAATTTATTATTGTAGCATTTATAGTTACCGAGAAAACGAATTTTGA